CCCGTTTCCCCCGCCGAGACCTGTCCTGCGGCGCAGGCAGGCGGGAATGGCCAGCGGCAGCCAGGGAATGCAGGGGAGCTGTTCCCATGGGAAGCAAGCCGTGCAGGGGGATGCGCCGGGAAGCGCCGGGGCAGAGCGGAGGCAGCAGGAGGTGGCCGGGGGCTGCTGCGGGGCCGCACAGCCATGCACGGGGCAGTCCCTGGTGCCACGCGGTCGCCGGAGCTGGACGCGGCTCCCGGAGGGCTCAGCTGAGGTGGAGACAGTGGAGACAGGCAGCGGAGGAGGATGAGAGAAGGAGAGGCCAGGATGAGCTCAGAGGAGAGAGGTGGCAAGAAGTGACCCACGGAAGTGCCCGCACCTGATGGCGCTGCGTGGCGTGTTTGAGAGAGCACAGAAGAAGGGGAGAGAGCGATGAGCAGGAGCGGCACGAGGCAGTGCCCACCCCTGCTCGGGGGTTGCACGCTGCAGCTGAGCCCGCCCCAGGGCGCCTCGGCACAACCCAGGCCACGTCCAGGGACATCCCTCCTCCCCGGCAGTCGGGATGAGGACGCATTAGTGTCTGTCCTGCCCGGAGAGCTCCAGGGAAGGCGGATTTCCACCTGAGCCTGGCACAGCGGCTGCATCTATCTGCCTGCGCCGGTGGGCACGGGCCACCTCGGAGCTCTCCTGGGGCTCCCCTGTCCCGGTGGGCGCCCAGGACTCACCATTCATCTGGGAGGGCGAGAGGGAATAGTCCCTGTCCGTGTAGCGCCAGCTGCCCTTGTGGCTGCGGCTCTGCCGCCCGGAGCCCTCCAGCGTGCTCACGATCTCGCTGCGGTCGATGTTCCTCAGCGCCGTGTAGAGGCTCTCGACTGCGGGGGGAAGTCGGGGTGGGCAAGGCAGGCAGGGGGGAGCGTGAAACGTCCCCCCAAGGCCAGCCGGGGCCCTGTGCTGCGCGCCGGAGCACGCCACGAGCGCACACACTGCTGGGAGGCCCCGCACGCCCGCCCGGCAGAGCCCCGCTCAGGGCACCTGCCCCAGGTGCTCCCAGAGAGCAGGATCGGGCACTGCTGGGCCCATCGGCCGCCCTGGGCAGCCCCCGGCAGCAGGACTGGCACCGGGCACGGCGGGTACTCACTCTTGGCGTTCTTGCCCTCGCGGCTGACCCAGAGGTTGAGTAAAGCCATGCTCTGCTCCAGCAGGGAGTTGGGGTTCTCCACTCGTATCCTGTTGATGTCCTCCACCCCAAACTGCAGCTCGCGGTGAGTCTTGCAGTGTCAACTCACCTGCCCAGCTGAGGCCCAGCTGCTCCGCTATATCGACCATCTTCTGGTCCGCCCTGTCCGTGCTGCTCAGCGAGCCTGCGTGTGCAGAGGGAAGCCCCAGCTTCAGCCACGCAGGGCCCTCACCAGGGCGGGAGGTAACGGGGCTGCCAGGGCTCTGCGCAGACTTATGGGCATTGCACTTGCCTTGCAGGGCACCCCAGGGCAGGGCGGAGGAAGGCACTAGGGAAAGGGAACCTGCCCTGGCTTGTGGGTGTGACAGGATCAGCCTTTTCACGTGGCCTGGGCATCCCTACCCCTGGGAGCGGGCGAGGGGGGCACGGAGAGGCCCGCGGGTGCCATACCGAGGCTGCTCTCGCTGAGGATGCTGTATCGCTCCCGCAGAGCCAGCGGTGTCAGCGTCCTCCTCCGCTCCTCGCTGCCGCTGCCCTGCTCGAGGGCACAGAGCAAGGGGTTACCAGCCTGCAGAGACGGGGCAGCAGCTCTGCCCCGACAGCGCCGCTTCTCCCAAAGCAGCGCAGCCACCCGGAGCCGCTGGGGAAGGAAAGGCCCCCGGCAAGGGCCGTTCCCTGTGCCCGTGGGAGGGAAAGGGCCTCCTGCCTCATCCCACAAGTCCCAGAACGGCACTGACCTTGGTGCAGGGCGGTATAGTGATGTTCAGGTGGCAGAGGACATGCTGCAGGTCCTCGTACTTCATGGCCTTGCGCAGGAAGGACAGGGAGCCGCTGGCTTCCCGGCTGCTGTCCCGCACCTGCACGGAAAGAGCCAGCTCAGAGGGGCCCGTGCAGGGCAGGAGCAGGGACCGCTCTGCAGCTCGGCCCCGGGAATTGCCCTTACCTTGATGGGGATGGCGAGCCGGTTCTCCCGGAAGGACTGGAAGAGGAAGGTGCGTGGCTGCGCGGCCTTCCTGATAGGCACCAGGTTGCCCGAAAGCTCCACGTGTAGAGGCATCCCCTCCACCACCTGGCAGGGGAGCAGGAAACAGGCTCAGCCCTTTCGCTGCCAGTGCTGGATGGGGACAGGTAATCCCCAGATTCCCTGGATCAGGGCCAGGCCCTGCAGGCATCAGTCCCCCCTCACCGGGCAGTCGTCACGCTGCTGGGGGACATACCTCAATGTCACGGCTGCGGGCCACCTCTGTGAAGTTCTCATGCTGCTCCAAAGTCTTGTCGACCTTGTCATCGGTCATGCAGTAGCAGCGCAGCCGGCCTTCCCGCGCATCGTTCATCTTGGCAAACACCACAAATTTGGCCATGTAGGGCACGGCTGTCAGCTCCTTGTACAGCGTGGTGGCAAAGTGCACGGCCTCAGCTGTGCGTGGGCAGTCTGCCAGCCAGAACCTGCGGGAGGGCCGGGTCAGAGAAACTGCAGGGACGGCCAGGCCAGGGGCACCAAGAGAGCTGTCCCCAAGGGGGAGGCATGTCACACGTGTTTCCCCAGGCATACGGAGGCAGCCCGCACGCTCAAGGCTCTTGTCCCCCTGCCCAACACATGCGAATGTGGCAGTGACTGTGAGCACAGAGGCTGCACCCTGGGATGGCCTCAATTCCTGGTACCCCCTGGCCACCCGTGGCTCACCTGGCAGACACGTTGGTGGTAAAGTTGGCACACTCATTGGCATAGACCAGCTTTGTGGTGCCCGTTATATCTTCCCACTGAGCTTGGGCTGTCCCTCCTGCAGCAGAAAGCAAGGGTGAGCAAGATGTCTTCCCTCCTGGAGTCCCCCCTGCGGGGACCTGCTTAGGTCCCAGGAGCTGCATCCCACCTTGGCCACCAGCCTGACCCCATTTTAGTGCCGTGCATCCTCACCAATGACGCTGCAGAGCAGGCGCAGGCTGGTGGTGTCTCCCTCGCCGCTGTCCCGGGGGCTGTCCTTCCAGGACGGAGGCAGCGGGATGCGGAGGCCGATGGGCCGGTGGAATTTCCTCCGCCGTGGCTCCACCGTGACGATGGGGCTGAAGGTGGCCTGGTTCCCCAGCAGCTTGGTCACCAGCTCGTCGGGCACGGGCTGCGCCTGTGGGCAGCACGGGGCAGGTGTCAGGGCTCTTGGGCAGGAGCCCAGCTGGCCTCCAGCCCCCCGGGCTCACCTGCAGGGCCAGCTTGACCCTCTTGGTGACGGCAGTCTCCGGGAAGGTGGCCTGCACCATGGGCACCAGCGTGCTTTTCAGACACCCTCCCTCAGGGCCGATGAGGTCGCAGTCCTGGCAAATCCGAGACATGACCACGAAGTAGAGAGGGAAATCTGTGGTGATGATGCGGCAGATCCTTTTCTTCTCCAGCTCCTCCTGGCTCTCCAGCTCTGCAAGAGCAGCACAGCGACCGGGATCAGGGTCCCTATTGCGAGCAGCCACCGTGGCCAGCGTGCCCATGCCGCCACGCGCCGTCCCGCTCACCCTCATCCATGCCATGGAGCAGCTGCTCCAGGTAGCTGTCCTCGTAGCGGTTGCGGTGCTCCTTCCACACGGAGCCGTTCTCGCTGCGCAGCACCACGAGCTCGCGGTCCCCGCGCCCGCACGACGCGAAGTGCGGGATCTCCACCATCACCGGGCTGTGGGCGGCACCGCGACACGGTGACAGCGAGCCCAGGATGGAGCCAGCCGAGGGGACATGGCCATCCCGCTCTGCATCTCCATGGAGGGAGGTTGGGGACGTGTCCTCACCTCAGGAACTGCGCGCCCGCGGGCCCCAGGGCGATGATGCGGCTGGCCAGGCCTTCCTCCTCGGCGAGCGGCGGCGGCGCCGGCAGCTTCTGCGGCTTCACGAGGCGGCAGGTGATGCGGGTCGGCGCG